GTTGCTTTTGCATGTGATGTTGGTTGAGGTGACGGAGTCGCAACGTTGGCTTCGAAGTGAGGAATACAGGTGGACGAAGGACTCACATATGCATTTGTGAGAAACACTGACCTTCTTTAACAGAATCATGGAGCGCCCTTTTTCAAACATTCCTGTTGTTGTATTACGAGGTATAATTGAATAAAAATCAAACAGCTAAAAAATAGATCCCGCCTGCACTGGGGGTTAGATCAACTGCGAGCGTAGGGAAATGCTCATAGTTAGTGCCGTTGGTGTATATTGTAGTTTTAGGTAATAATAATTACAAAATTGATAAATTAATGCGTAAAAGTAGGTAAAACTGTTTTTAATAATTTTGACATGTTGAATCGTATAAAGTACTATGTAGAATGATGCTAAATAATAAAAATGAAAAAAAGATAATGAGATATTTTACCTAGTGGAGAAACTTTCAAACGCATGAAAGTTGTGGTATATGTTTTATTGTTCATTAGAGATAATTCATTGATATGGTCGTAGAGGAATAGATGTATTTATTGAAATAAAGTACGTTTTAGAGAAACGCTATGAAAGATTATTTTTATTTACATTCCTACATTAAGAAAACATGGCGGCTATTGACTGTATCTTTGAAAAAGTACTTACCCATATTTATCGCTTGATTTTATGAAATATTTTTATGCAGGAATGAACAATAATTTGAAGTGTGTAGGTGTGGGTGTGAAATATACATAGAAAACCAACATTCACACCCATACCCACGTCAGCACTATTTTTTTTTATCTTCGATTTTATTCAAGTACAAATCTTAATACTACAACAGGAATCTTAGGGCAAAGGCGTTTCATAATTCTGATAAAGAATGTTAGTGTTTGTCACAGAGACATACGTGATTAATATAAGAAGCAGAATCACGAAGATCAGCATCAACACAAGCACAAGTTGCACCATCACGTCTCGTAAAAAGCTTAGAACCACCATTGCGCCAACGATCGTAATCCTGGCCTGTCCAATTTTTGTAATTCAAGATCCAATTCCACATGCCTTGGTCACTAATAAAATGCCAATCACGACACTTGTGACACTTGGCACAAGGACGACCTTCACAAATAAGTTTCTTGCACGTGCCAGGTGCAGCAAATTCTTGAGGTTCTAAATGAGAATATTAGGCAATCACAAAATCGTACAGGGCACAGATAATCATTTTATAAGCACTCGATTTAGAGAACTGTGGCAGACTCGAAATTATCTTAGTAGTAGACTATATGATCATTCGATGGAAAAATTATTCTCGTTTACAAAGAGATACTTTTAGGAAAGTGTTGAAGAATGCAGATAATTGAAGTCATTTTAAAGTCAATATTGAAAAACTTTCCACGTTCTCTAAATAGTACATGCCATAGGTTTCAGAATTTTCCGAACTTAGAATCTTTGAGACATTTCAATTTTCTAAAATTGACCAAAAGGTTCCTGCTGTGTACCAATGGAAACTTTTGAGAAAACTAGGTTCAAGAATTTTCAGTATTGGAGAATTTAATGTATTTAGAAATTTGAAAGTCATCGACATTTTTTTATTATAAGAATTTGAAAATTGTAAGGAATATTAGAATAGTAGTTTTATTTTCGATGCGGAGGAAAGCGCGACAATGACAGTGTCTTGTCTTTATTTGAATGGTGTCTGCACTTGATAGGAGAAGAGGCCGCATTTTTGACAGTGAAAGTGAAAAAAATGATTAATGAGGGTGCAGATGCGTGTGTGGATGAACGTTAAGGAAAGATACATCCATACCCATCTCAATGCTTTGTGATACATGCGATGACAATTCTTGTCACTGTCAAAACTGCTCGCTGCGATACTCAAAAGTAAGAGTGTGAGACAATGGTGGATTGAGTGGATATTCGATGCTGTAGCACACCGCAAAAAAAAATGTGCAACGCAACGTTACTCATAATTGTGTTATTATCGTTTTCAATGGGACAGATGTATTCTGTAAGTTTGAAAATATTCTTTCATTATAGCGTCAATCCATGCATGTCCGACTAAGATGATCTGCTATTGAGTACAACACGAACGCTAGGACCAATGAAGTATTTCTTTTAATGAAAATAACTGTCACATTCTAAGCAACATACTTGATTTCATCAGCGAATATTGCGTCTGACCCCATTCCATCAGTCTCCATGTCCACGGCTCTGATTTTGACTCTGGTACATTAGAAACAAACTTGGATTGAGGTAGTTGTGATGTACCTAAAGAAATCAAACAATGCTATTGACATCTGAATGAATTCATAATGTCGATAAAGGGTAGCCGAGATGCTCAGTTTGGGTTTAAATAGTAAATTTTTCTTTAGCTAAACACTTAATTTTGAATTTGGCTTTTTGACGAAAAGATATAATAAAACTCACTCTACAAGCTGGTTTTTTCGACTGACCGAACTAACTCATAATAAGAAAGTTATAAGTTTAGAAATTTTGATCGGAAAAGCAAAAAACTAGCGAGCGTGATATAATGAGTAGATTCTCAGTATCTTGTTGATATGTTGGACAATTTTCATTGTTCAGATTTTGTCTTTTTTTCCGAAGATTCGCGATGAGATCTTGTGCAAAACGATATAGTCCAGTAAACCATTAGGCTTTTGTTCGTTGCTGAAGCACAACTTCTCTGAACATTGATATTAGGGTGTGGGTGTGGGTGTGGGTACCAGTTAGAGATCGCACCGACACCCATATTCACACCCTCATGTTGACATATTATATTCCTGAGTTTTTATTCGTAATTAATTATTACAATACATTTTTCACTTGGTTACACTTAATTTAGACGTTTCATAGAAGTCTATTCAATTTTTACAGTTTTTAATATCGATAAATATGAATGCAGAAACATTGTGGCATGCACATAGTATAATCATTCTTAAAATCTTGTAGATTTGATAGTTTACAACCTCAACTCAATGAAAGTAATACTGATAAAAAATTTTGACTTACCTAGAGATAGTGTATTAACAATTTTAATAAATACAATTGGCATATCATCGGTTGTATCCTGTGGAACTTTCGCCGATGGTGTCAATGCTTTGCCTTTGTACGTCGTCTGATATTGTCCTATATCAGTTCTATCAAAAATCTTTTGTTTTAGATCATCGATATCTGAATTAGAATCTATATTGATTTTCGTTGGAACATTTTGGTCGCGTTGATACCATACTTAAACCGTGTTGCCTATAAATATTCTGTTAGCGAGACCGTCGACGACTGCCTGGAACCTTTTAAACCTTAGAAAAAGATAGTTTATACAACCGACGAAGTTCATACCTTTCTTAGGGATTCATGCGTGAACAGTACATTATACCTTTCTAATAAGAACGGCTTTTTTTCAAAGCTCACCTTTCATCTTTAGTATTTCTACAAAAAATGAGCAGATAATCTGAGATGTTATGACTTGACAGGTAAATGGTTTACTTCTTCATTGAAAAGTGTTTTTTTTAGAAAACTACTGAGAAATAGCAAGGATGTGCGTGTGATATGATGCCAATATTTACACTCATCCACCAACATCCTACACCCACCCACTCCCTGTAACAGCATACTTTGCAAAACAATAGTGCTAGACTGAACCGTTGAAGATGCGAGATTTGACTAGCATATTCAGAATCCTTTTAAGTTCGGACAATATATAGCTCTCTTCCGAACTTCTTTCTCTTGCGTCAAAAAATGGTTCTAACTGATTCTATAGCAGTCTGCGCAACAGATCTAGTTTACATCTACTAACTTGCTCGAAGTTTCACTCTACAAATCAGCAAGCTTAGGTTTTTACATATAGCCTCTTATTCCTATCCTTAGTACCTTATTTCTATATAAAATATCGTTATTTTCAAAAAATACCACTGTCGTTGTAGAATTTTAAAGTTCATAAATTTCGATACTTTATTTTGCGAATCAGATTTCTTAGCCTCAAAAATCTTAGATCAAGCTTTATTAAATATTTCCTTTTTTTAGAAAACTTCCTTCGCTACTGTAATTCTCCAGTGTCGGCAAATATAGAGAACTATCGATGAAAAACTGGAAGTATGAGAGAAAGTCGATGGATGCGCATTAACCAGTAACGACATATATCGATGACTCGATGTCTGAACGTCACTGATCCGGTGATAGTCAATCATCATTAGAGTATGGGATCTGGTGTGAGTACTCGTATATTGAAGATGGGTGTGTGGGTGTGAGTGGGGGGTTAGGTGGCTTCTTTCTTTATCCTAACAGCCACAGTAACACCATCTTGAGGGTGTAGGTGTGAGTCGGTTGATATGAGGTTGAGGGCAATAGAAACACACAAATATCCACACCCATCTTTACACACTAGATTCAGGAGATTTGAGGTGACTTTGGATATTATTGTGATTGTGAGAATAAATACCAATGAAGATGCGACTTCACATCTCAAAAACCTTTGCTAATTTTCCTTTTCGACACTCATTTCCTGAGCACAGTCTGGGTCTTCCTATCCTCATTCAACATGCAGGCTCGCACCTGCAAAAAGTCCACCATTGATACATACGTATATGTCTGCTATAGTATCAGAGTTGTGTGGATATCTTTTCAATATCTAGCATTGGCCCTCAATGGTTTGACTGAGTATTTGTCACTACGATTTAAGAGCACAGCTTATCGAGGATTTATGAAAAAGCATTGTAGTAGGAAAAAATCGATGTATTATTTTACTTCAGAAGCAAAACACTTTCTTACCTTTCAGTACCAAGCATAGTAAATGACTGAAGTTGTTCGTTGTACTTTTACCTGTTCTTCAGAAAGATAAGCGACGAGCGCATGGCTTCTCGCTGGGCCCTCTCTTCAGAAGCTTTTATCTGCACATTACTTTACAGTTTTAGACTGATACGAAAAAGCCAAGAATTTTCGCTGACGCCAGGAGTCGTGGGTGTTGCTTTTCCTTCTCATACACAGCCACACCTATGCCCATCCCCGTCCACCCACACCCACGTACACTCATCCATTCTGGAGAAAGATGAGCGACAAGTGTACGGCTTCTAGCTTGGTCCCTCTCCAGAAGCTCTTATTTGCATATTACTTTACTGTTTCGGACTAATAGATAAAAACCAATAGTTTTGACTGGCACAGCAAGTCGTAGCTACTACAGTCCTCAGAAAAAACTGTATTATTTTGTTCCTTAATATACTAAAGTTAATGTAAGAAAATCTGTTGAGTCGATCGCTTGGGTGTGAGTCTAAATATTCTATTTTATTCACCCCCACCCACACCCACCCTTCAGATCTTTTTCTACTAAATTGTTTGTTTGTGACCGAGACTTTATCATTGATAGTGGATTATTTTGCATATGTTGATAATAATCTTTACATATACATTCAAGTAGTCTCTTAATTATTATGGTTTGTTGCGAACATGCTTTGCATACAATATGACTGCAACGTCGACAATGGTGACAACGATTAAAGATTGAAAATTGTGCTTCAGGGTGGGATGGATGTGGATGTGCGTGTGGATGAGTGTTGGTAAACATAAAATGCCTAAACCCACACATCATTACGCTAATAACATTTACCATGAATACTTGACTACGTTCGGAGTTGATCTACCTCCGTTGTAGATGAGATCTATATTTTTTACTCTTCGAATTTTATTCAATTATAAACCTTGTTTAAACCATAGGAATCGTGAGAAAAAAGGCATTTCATGATTATAATAAAGAAGGTTAGTGTTGCTCACAGAGACATACATGAGGATCACCAAGACCAAGATCAAGAAGAAGACCAACAAAACGACGATCATCATCGTAACTACGAAGACGACGAACACGATCATCATCAGCACGATAAGGAAGAAGATTATCAGAATTATTATAAAGAGAACAGGTTGCACCATCACGCTTCAAAAAAAGCTTATAATCACCATCGTTGAAACGATCCTTGTCCGCTTGTGTCCAATTTTTCCAACTGCAGACCCAATTCCACGTACCTTGATCACCAGTAAAATGCCAGTCACGACACTTGTGGCACTTGGCACAAGGACGACCTATACAACTAAGTCCCTTGCCCGTGCCGAGTGCTGCAAATTCTTGAGATTCTAAATGAAAATATTAGACAGTCACAAAAGCATAAAGGACACGGATAATGATTTTATAAGAAGTTTATTCAGAGGGCCATGTTAAACTCGACATCTTGAGGGTGTAGATGTGAGTGTGGATGTGTTTGAGAAAGAAAAGCAATACTCACACCCACACCCGCGTTCTCATGTTGGCATCTTATATTCCTGAGTTTTTATTCCTAGTTAATCATTACAATATTTTTCCAGTTAGTTAATTAAGCTTAATTTAGATGTTTCATACAAGTCTATTCAATTTTCAATACTGACAAATATGGATACATAAATATTGTGGCATGCGTATAAGATAATCGCTCTTGACGTCTTGTAGGTATGATAGTTTTCAATTTTAAATCAATGGAAATGACACTGATAAAATTTTTGACTTACTTTGAGATGGTATATCAACAATTCTAGTAAATACAATTGGCTTATCACGAGTTGCTTTCTTTGGAACTTTCGTCCATAATTTCAATGTTTTGTCCTTGTATGTCGTCTGATATTGTTCTTTTTCAGTTGTACCAAAAATGTCTTGTTTTAAATCATCGATATCTGAATCAGAATCTATTTTGATTTTCGTTGGAACATTTTGGTCGCGTTGAAACCATACTTTAACTTTTCTCTTTCTCGTACAGGAGAGTCTTGCAAACATGAATTGTCTGCTTGATTAGTTGATTGCTTGTGTGTTCGCACTTCACTGAGTGATTGAAAATTAATCTGGAAACAAAAAAGATTGATTTTAATAAA